GCAGGTCGGGGCATCAGGATTGTTTGTCGGAGGAGGCGGGGGGGCAAGGCGGTGGAGCGCGACGGTGGCGAGAAGCAACACCCGCGCCACTGTGTCCGACAGGCGTCTCGCGTTTATGTCTGCCATAAATGTGAGACGCCTGTCGAACACAGTACTGGGGACGTTGCTTCTCGCCACTGCTGCAGTCTTGCCTCACCAACGGTAACCGTCACCGCACGTCACTGGGCTTACAAGACGTCACTCCACTCCATCCTGGACTGTGTGAGGGAGGGGGACCTATTGACCTCAATAGATCTCAAAGAGGCCTACCTGCATGTCCCCATCCATGCAGCCCACAGGCGGTTCCTGACGGAAGGGAAGCACTATCAATACAAGGTGCTTCCCTTCGGGCTATCATCTGTGCCCAGAACATTTACCAAAATACTGGCAGTGTTAGCGGCTCACCTCCGCAGCCATCTGGTTCATCTGGAATGTTATTTGGACGATATAATTATTCATTCTCTCACCACCGAGCAGGCACACCGCGATGTCACTCTAACTGTGCAGACTCTGCAACAACATGGCTTCTCTGTCAACATGGAGAAGAGCCAGTTGCAGCCATCCACCTGTATACTACACCTGGGTGCAGTCATCAACTCCACCTCCTGCCAGGTATTTCTTTCTCCAGACCGGCTGTCCAACCTGAGATGCAGAGTGAAGCACTGCAGCCTTGCCAGGTCAGTACCAATCATCCAGCTGTCTCAGCTCCTGGGAATAATGATATCATGCCTGAAAGTAGTTCCCTGGGCTCGTCTCCATGCCAGGGAGCTACAGTGGTTTCTGCTGCCAATGCAGAGGGCAAAGATCAGCAACTCCCACAGGCGCATTCGGCTCCCACAGAAGGTGATCCGATCTCTGGCCTGGTGGAGATCCTAAGGAGTCAAGAAGGGCTGCTTGTTCAAAGAGCCAGAAAGACTAGTTGTCACCATGGACGCCAGTCTCCTGGGGTGGGGTGCCCATTGTCAGGGTCACCTTGCCCAAGGCCAGTGGACTCAGAGGGAGGCTGCCCACAGCATCAACTGGCTGGAACTGAGGGCAGCCCGACTCACACTGCGAAGGTTCTCCACTCTCGTAAAAGGGGCTCACGTGCTGTTAATGACAGACAATGTGGTGACCAAAGCCCATATAAACAGGCAGGGGGGCACTCGATCGAAGGCAGAAGCTCTGGGCAGGTGGGCGGAACATCATCTGGCTTCTCTCAGTGCAGATCACATCTCCGGCACCAGCAACAGGGAAGCAGACTGGCTGAGCCGCCAACGCATCGACCACTCGGAGTGCGCCTGCACCCGGACCTGTTCCAGCAGATCGTGAGGAGATTCAGCAAACCGCAAGTAGACCTGTTTGCCACACACACCAACACACAGCTCCCATGCTTCTTCAGTCACTACCGCTCGCCCCTGGTGGAGGGGACAAACGCACTGTGGTCCGAGTGGCCTCAGGGACTATTGTATGCATTCCCTCCTCTTCTTCTTATACCTCAGGTGATGAACAAGCTCCTGGCTGAAAGGGCAGACCTCATCCTGGTGGCTCCATTTTGGCCCAGAGGCCCTGGTACGCAGACCTGGTCAGTCTCTCAGTTCAGAGACCGTGGCGAATCCCACAGGACCAAATCTCCCTCAGCCAGGGGGCCGTCAGTCATCCGGAGCCC